AAGTGGGAGATGATCACTTCTGTCCCGTCCCCACCCCTTCAGCGATCTCGGTCACGAGAGCAGCGGGGGGAATGGAGTCCCACCACCGTCAGTCCTGGTGTGGCCGGGGCTTCCACAGCTTAAAGAGCACACACCCCTGGGTGGGAGCTGCTTTCTTGAGTTCTCCCGGGCAAACGCTGGTCTTCCTCCTCCAGGTGGATCTTTACCCAAGGCCAAGAGCTGGCCAGGAGCAGCTCAGGGTCGGCAGTTCCTGCGCCTGGTGGGAAGGTGGCCCAGGGGCCTCCTCCTGTCTCCATTCCGTTCCAGGAGAAATGCCCCCATCGCCACGGAGAGGGGCCTCCTCTGGGGGAAGTGAGGTGTTATAAGCAGAACTGAGAAATGGGTAAAAGAAAGACAGGGAAAAGCAAGAACAAAAACGAAATAGTGCCCTAACCCCTTATAAAAATTAAAGATGAAATTTACACAAATGCTTTGTCCATATTAAATTTCTTTGAAGAAACTGGGTGCCTGTCCACAGCAGAGCTTCTGCTCTTTTGAAGTCTTAAATCGTTTAAATTAAAAAAAAAAAAAAAAAGACAAAAAAATTTAAACAAAACTGAAGGGAGAAAATGCAAACAAAGCTTCACATTGCTGGAGCTCCAGCTGTCGGGAGATGGCCGCTGGCCGGGCACCTGTACCCTCTGCCGTCCTCTGTGAGACTTGACGAGACTGTGGGTCCCGGGGATCAACCTGGAAGACAGAAGGCAGGGTGCGAGTGGACACTGGTCAGTGGGCTTGGGTGCCTCCAAGCTCCAGATCTCCCACTAGGTGCCAGCACCCAACCGATGACCTCAGGAGCTGTGCTGTGCTGGGGCCAGGGAGAAGGTTTCTAAATCATTTATCTGAAGTGAATGTAGCTTCATCATTGCCACCCTGCCCCAGACACACATTCTTACTATTCAGCCCGAGCTCACATGGCCTAAGGGGCAGACCCTGGCTGGGAGCCCAGGCACACAAATCGGTCGATTGTGAATCCTGTGCCATATAACGGCTTTCTTCAGTGTTTACGAAAACGCCGGCGGATCCTAGGTACCCGTCCCTGCAGGTCTTGGCAGCCCTGGTTCCCCTCATATTTCCTTCCTCACTTCTCTAATCGTGCTGCCCTGAAATGTCAAAGCAACTCTCGAGTTTACTGATCCCATTTTAAGAGAATGAAAGAGACTCAGGCCTCTGAGAACGGAAACTAACTACTAGGTCAGTGATGGCGAACCTATGACACGCGTGTCAGAGGTGACACATGAACTCATTTTTTTGGTTGATTTTTCTTTGTTTAATTAAATGGCATTTAAATATATAAAAAAATGTCTATATGTGACACAGCACCAGAGTTAAGTTAGGGTTTTTCAAAATGCTGACACGCTGAGCTCAAAGGGTTCGCCATCACTGTACTAGGTAGCCAAGGTTCTCCTGTCTTAGGAGAGGCCAGAATCCCACAGCCGGGCCGTGGGGGCCTCTGCAGGTGTGCACTGCAGGGGTCAGGAACCAAGTTCTGGAGCCAGAGCCTGTGGCAGACTCAACAGGCCCTACCACTTCACTGTGGACAAATTTAAGTCCTTGGTTCCTTGGTCTCGTCACCTGTACCTAAGTCACAGGTTATTCTGAAGACCAAATGAACTAACACACGTAAAACTTAGAACATTGCCTAGCCCTCCTATTAGCTATTGAGAATCAATCGTCTTAGGGCTGGGCCTCAGGAACAAGACAAGCCACCTGCCCTTCAGGGACCTGTTCTAGTGGAGCCTCCAATACAAGCACCTACAGAGGTCAGTGTTGGGCCGGCCCTCACCCAGCCCAGCTCTCCCAGCTTCAGCCTGATCAGAGTTAAGTGAATGTAGGCAGGGCGGCATCCTAACCGCTGAATCAGACAAGTGTTTCACCGTGTGTTTGAAATCCCCCCATTGGCTTCAGTACTCTGCAAGCTCCGTGTGGCCTGAGAGCTGCCTTCCCGCATTACTTGCCCTGAGCAGTCTGACAACACTGGCCGTCGTCCTCAGGTCACGGGGAGATACCTGGCTAGTCCTCAAGAGAGGCAGTGGGGTGCAGTGACAAGGAATGGTTTACTTCCTGTCAGCCTCAGTGTCCTCCTCTGAGAAATGGGGAGGGCTCTATTTTGAGGTCTGAGGGAAATAACTAAAAAGTACCTGGCCACAGCAGGAACTGGCATACTCGATGAGCCCATTCTCTCCCAGCCATCTGTCCCCACCAAAAATGACGAATGTATGAGATTTAAACACCGTGGTCCTCAGCCACTGAACCAGAACCCTGCTCGGAGCTGGGCGAGGGTGCCACGAAAAGGCCACACACCGTGGGAGGAGGGAGCACAGCCTTTTGGAGAGCAACATGGCACTGTGTTTTCAGAGCTCCCGCCGTGGTTGGACCTGTAGATCCTATAGTTCCACTGCTGCAAATGTATCTTAACTGATAACCCTAAACATGAAAAGGACTTGATGAATAAAGATGTTCACTGAAGTATATTTAATTTATGAGGCAACAATCCACAACAGAAGAGATTTAAGCAAATGATGCATCCACGCAATGGTATTTGCAGAGGAAATGAGGAGGCTGTGTGGCATTTTGAACAATATCACAGCAGAAGCACTGCCCTGGGTTATGTGGGGAGAAGCAGGCTACAAGTTCTGCAGCAGAGACTTCCAAACGTAGGAAAATCTGCAAAAAATACACCACAATGTTGTACTTGTCACGGGTGTGCCTTCTTCCACTTTTCCTGTATTTTTAGTACTGAGTGACATCACCCTGTCACGCTCTGCGCTGTAATGGAAGTAGTGGACTCTAATCAACAGGAAAAGCTGGCAGCTCCGACGCGGAGGTCCATGGAGCAGCGAGCAGCCCAAGAAACCAGACCCACGTCTTTTCTGGACTCTTCCGCATACAGTGGACATGAAGAATTCCCCACACCTGTCAGACCTGAGAGGTGAGACTGATTCCCTTCTCTGCCTCCCAGGGGAGGGGACCCAGTGTCCGCGGGTGGAGTACAGTAGGAATGGATGATAAAGGCACTGGAAAGCTATCTGATGCGGAAAGAAAATACTGGATTCCCAGGCCCAACCCTTTCCTCTGCTGCTTCTGTCTCCCGGCCTATTAAGTCCTTTCAACAAAAACCCAGTGATGGGCCTTGCATCTCAGTCTTTGGTTTGTAAAAATAAAACCATCATACGCATGCCCTGTGATGATCCAGCAGCCCCTCATATCCAGCATCAGTCAGCATGCCTACTGCCTTCAGCAGACACAGCAGAGCAATCAGGAGACGGGGAGAGGGAGAGCTTGGGGAGGACCTCCCCAACAGAGACACGCTAAATCCTCGTGAAGTAGGACAAGAAAAGCCTGATAAATTGTATGGTCATGTGTCACCTGCTAAAATAATCTCTGGGACCAGTAATGACCTTTTCAACACCGCTTTCCTTCCTCCCCGGTAGGACCCAAGCGAAGACAACTTCCTCGAAAGGATGATCAGCAGCAGCAGCTAGCCCCCGGCAGCTGAAAAGCAGTGTGGTCGAGGGGGCAGAGGTTCTGGAGCCAGAGTCCCTTTTCCATAATAACTGGCGGAACAGAGTGTGGCTGCAGAAAGTCGAACCACTCGTCCGGTGCTCTGCAAGAGCTCCTGCGACACCAGCACGTAATGACCGCTGGAATCACTGGGTCGCTTGCCAGGAACCAAGGCTGGCATTTCCCACAGGCTCCTCCACCCTCCCTCCCTTGGACTGGCTTTGGCCCTCCTGGTAGGTCTGCTGGCTTCACCCTGTCGCAGGGACAGGAAAATGAGAAGGTACTCTCTTCTGTGGAGAGGACCTGGACTTTGAGTCTCTCTCCCCTTAGAGAAGGTAAAGCTTTCCAGGGAGCCAATGGCAGAAACTGCACTAGAAGGCAGAGGGGAGTCCTTTCTTGAGCCACGGAGAGGGAGGCTCGGGTTGATGCCCCAGCCACACAGTTCTGGACAGAAACAGCAGCAGGCCCTCCCATGCACTTCATCCAGAGGGGCCAGGCCTCAGCTCTCCGACTACCCAGGCTGGGCTCCACTGCTCAGTTAGCAGCTTCAATCAGAGCGTGCCTTGTCCCTTTCAGTGGAACCCCTACCTCTGATCAGAGCCCCCCCCCTAGAGGGCAAAGCCACACCCACTGAGCAAACATGGTGTGATAAACCAGTAGGTGACACCTGTTGCACACTCCGTCTTTCACTGTCCCCATCTTGTGAGGATGGATTTGCCATTTAAGAAGGGAATAGGCCCAGAGAGATGGAGCAAGTTGGCCCATATCACAGAGCTGTTGAGCAGTAGAACCAGCACTCAATCCAAATTTTGCAGCCCCTTCCCCGCCCAGTCTCTCCACTATGACAGTCCTCAAGTGTTTTACACCTACCGCCTGCCTCACTGCACTCGACAACCAAGGTAGGAGCTGTGGTCACTCCAGGTTTAGAGATGAGGAAACAGGAACTCAGAGATCTGCTCCTACTTTTAGCCTAGAAATTTATGATGTCAAGTCCCCGCCTACAGA